GGTCGTGGTCGGATGTAGTCGGTGGGGACTTATGTTTTGTCGTCGTAAATCTGCGCGGGGGTCGGAGGCGGCAGTAAATCGCATCGCATGTTTCCATGCATTCTGCTTTCGGAAAAAATTGGAGTAGGTGGGTGGACTTCAGGACTGTAATAGCGCAGGGATGTAATAGCGCAGGGATGTGACATGTGGGTAAGGGACCCCCGCTTGGACAGAGGTATCGCTGCAAGTTTCCTTGCGGTACTGCGGATTTATACACACTCCTCCGCGCAATCCCACTGCACACTGATGTTCCACCATATCCGTAGTCCACCAGATAGCGCCGTGGATGGTGAGGAGTAGAGCAAGAGCTGAACACCATAGGCCAGCTCCGCTACCAAGTTTGAAGGGGGCTGGAAGGCCCAGCTAACAGCTTCGCCTCAGGCGAAGCCAAGTTCCCGCTGTGTTGTACCGTAGTAGCGATAGTCCCACTATTAGAGGGGATGCCATCTCAAGCAACAGGAACATCCTTTTGGTTTCGATAGCGATTGTGTGCCTCGCAGTGAGGCACAGTCCAATTTGGGCGGCCGGCCGCTTGAGCCGACGCGGCCGCGGGCGCACGCTCGCTTGCACTCCTTACGTCCCTCAGTTCGCTTTAGAGTATCCGTACCTGTTCCTCCCTTGCTGAGTCCGGAAAAAATCATATCTCCCGAGGTCGGCGGCGGCCGCGGGCGCCCGATCCGCACGCCCGAGACCCCGCGAGGTGCCGCCGCGTCCCGCCCGGTCCACGGCATGCTCTTGCTGACCGAGAAGGTGCGTTGAGAAGAGTGCCCAGACATGGCTCGCGTCGTGCAAAACATCAGGACGGATTTTCTGTCGCAATGTTCGGCCTCTCGGGGGCGCCCGATCCACGGCATGTTCCTGCTGACCGAAAGGATGCGTTGAGAAGAGTGCCCAGACATGGCTCGCGTTGTGCAACATGTCAGGACGGCTTTTCTGTCGCAGTGTTCGGCCTCTCGGGGGCCCCGGGACTGTCAACAAAAACGACTCGGGACGAAAACTGGCCCAGGGGAAAAGGTCGGGACTTTCAGGGGCCGCGTATTGAAAAACTCTGGACGTCGCACGTCTGGGAAACAGTGCTCCCTAGAGCATGACTTCGAAGGATGACGATCGAAACATGGCCACAAGAACGCGAATCGAGCACAGGAGCGCCTTCGCAAAGGGCCCAAGGCCCACTGGATGTGCTCAGAGCGAAAGCCGTTGTAGGGCGAAGGGCGCAAAAGCGAAGAGCATCAGGGTACCGCGCCCGAACTGGGGCGCGTGACTCCATCACCCAGAAATGATCGAAGGTCATGTCGCGCATGTCACTACAGGTTACGCTGCACCCCCGGCAGTTGCGGAGAAGAGTGGGGGGGCGGGAGCGGGCTGGTCGCGAGTGGATCGCGGGCTGGACGCGGGCTGGGTCGCACGGTGGGCTCGCGGGGTGCGTCGCGGGTGGATCGCGGGGATGACGACGACAACCACAAGGTATCACCATCAGGCGAACATCTAATGCATGCGGGCGAAGTTTTGAAACGTCCAAGACGAACGCGGACGTGAACGACATGGAACAACAACAACAACAGCAGCAGCAACAACAACAACATCAACAACAACAACAACAACAACAACAACAACAACACCACCACCAACAACAACAAAAACACCAACACCAACACCAACAACAACAACCACAACAACAACAACGACAACAACAACAACACCACCAACAACAACAACACCAACACCAACACCAACAACAACAACCACAACAACAACAACAACACCAATAATCAGTTTAGGACTGTTCGCCCTTATATGCTCGAGTGTCCAACAACGCGTATTTCTCAAACCCTCGATACCCGCCCTCTTCGTCTTCGGTCGAACCCCTTTTGGGGGGTATACCTTTCTTCCCTGCAGGCCGGGCCCCGGCAAGCGGCGGGGCGGCCGCGGACCGTCGGCCTGGCCAGTGGCAGCGCTGATCGGCGGGGCGGCCGCGGACCGTCGACCCGACCCCAAGAGGGACGGATAGGGGACCGACCACGACGACGACGACGACGACGACGTCGAAGACGACGGCGACGACGACGACGACGACGGCGACGACGAGCGAAAGCGAGAGCGAGAGAGAACGACAGCAGGGCCACGAAGGGCACGAAGTAGGCCACGAAGGGCGACATCGGGGACACGAAGGGAATGCGTACGGGGCCACGAAGAGCGCGAACGAGCGGGGGCCACGAAGTGCAGATAATGCGGGGCCGCAGAAGGCAACTATGGGGCCACTGAGGGTAGCAACTGGGCCACGTAGGACAGTGAGGGGGACACCAATGGCGACAGCGGGGCCACGAAGGGCACGCACATGGAGCCACAACGGGCGCGACTCCTGGGTGCCTGGGTGTCAGGAGCGCGGCGCTTGGGCAACTTGGCCATTCTTCAGTAAATTGCAAGCAAGTCTCCAGCGAGAGCGCGACTCCAGAGCGAAGGGAGAGCGATTCCTGGATAAATTGTAAGGAAGTCCCAAGCAACAGCGCGATTCCTGAATAAAATGCGAGGAAGTCTCGGGCGGGAGCGGGGGTCCTGCCTAAATCGTGAGGAAGTCTCAGGCGGGAGCCGTTGTTGTTGTAACCCGGGGGCCAGGATCCCAGTTTGAGCAGGAAGACTTTCCCTGCCAAAAAACAGGGTGCGAGCGTCGAGGGGCACACTTTGATTGAGAAAAAGCAGTACGCACCGGTGGGGGGGGATCAACAATCCGCCGACCCCTTGTGGGTCTCTAGGCGTGTGAGATAGTTCCCCCCCCCTAACCCCCCCCCTGGGACCCCAAACCGGAGATTTGACCCCCCCCCCCCGGGCCGCAGACGAGCGCACCACGGGGCTCTTTTGGGCCCAAAAGGGGATCAAGACGGGCCAAGAAGGCCCCAAGACTCCTCCAAGACGGCTCACGAGAGCTCCGAGGCGCCAAACGAGCGCTCCCAGACGCCCAAGATGCCCCCAAGACGAGCCTAGAGGCCTCCAAGACGGCCCAAGACGCCTCCAAGAGCAGTCCTCAGAAGGGCCGAAGCGCCGAAAATCGTCAATTCCTATGGGAAAACGTACATTTTGATCACATACTACTTCTCGGCCTTCACGGCGTTGAAGACGGTCCCAGAGCACCCCAAGACCGCCCCGAGAGGCCCCCAAGAGGCGCCCAAGTCGGCCCAGGAGGGCGCCAAGACGGCCCAAGAGGCCCCCAAGACAGCCCAAGAGGGCCCCAAGACGGCCCCAAGAGGTGCCCAAGAGGGGGAGCCCGAACCGACAATCCGAGCCTTCCGCCCCAAGGCGGCCCCAGAAGGCCCCAAGAGGCCCCAAGAGGCCCCCAAGACGCCCACAAGAGGCCCCAAGAGGCCCCCAAGAGGCTCCAAAACGGCCCCCAAGAGGCTTCGAAACTGCCTCCAAGAGTCCCGCGAAAAGCCCCCCAAGAGATCCCAACGATCACCGCACAAGTCTCATATCAACAACCCAGGCACGGTGGCGGGGTTGCGTTTGCGCACAAAAAAATGATTCGCGCTCTCGAGGCCAAGATTGCTCCAAAACGGCCCAGGATGGCTCCAAAACGGCCCAAGATGGCTCCAACACGGCCCAAGAACGTTCGAAGACGGCCCAAAATGGCCTCAAGATGGCCGACAAGGCTTTCACTATCGCCCACGAAGTCTCCAAGAAGACCCCCAGGACATCTGAAAGAGGCGCACATTACGCATTTCATTACATTTCCATTGCGTTGTTGAACATGTTTGCAATTGTTGCCTTTCCCGGCTTCCGTCGGCTCACGTAGCCCAAAGAGCCTCCAAGATCGCCCCACGGCGCCCCAAGAGGGCCTCAAGACGGCCCCAGAGAATCCCAACACGGCCCAGGACGCCTCCCAATTCGGCCTAAGACGACCCCAAGACGGCAAAACCTGTCTCCAAATTGGTCCCAAGCTGGTGCAAGACGGCCCTAACCCAAAACCCATAACCCAGAGCCTTGTTTCTGTGTCCCCTTCCTCCTTCTCCTCCTCCTCCTCCTCCACCTCGGCCGCCAGGTGGGTTCAAAACTGCTTTCCAAAGGTCCCCGAGAGGCGTGCCGCGAGATCCCTATACACATACAACAAGTTTCTAACCAATAGCACATATCCCAGAGTTTCGTCTCTGTGTCCCCGTCCTCCCCCTCTTCTCCTCCTCCTCCACCTCCTCCTCGCCCACTCCTCCTCTTCCTCCCCCGCCTCCTCCTCTTCCTCCCCGATTCTTCTCCCCCCATCCTCCGCCTCACCCCCCATCCCTCTCTCCCCCTCCCCCCTGTCCTCCCCCGCACGCGCGCCCCCGATTGGGCATCATTTGCAGGTCTTGCATATCAGGGTGCCCTTTTTTGCATCGCGTGCGACGTTGGCAGGGTTCCCGGAGAACGCCGACGTCGGTAGTCTTCTCTTGCACGCGCCGCCGCACTGATACGCCTGGCAACTGCGGGCTGTGAACCCGAGGTTCCGGCAAGACCGCCAAGATGAGGGGTCGGCGGATGTGGCGTAAGCCTATAGAATAATTAGTCTTCAGCAATGAGAATGCAAAGGCAACAACAACAACAACAACAACAACAACAACAACAACAACAACAACAACAACAACAACAACAACAACAACAAACACCAACGACACATAACAAACGGGCAGAGTCTGGGCCACGGGGTCCCATTTCGCCCGTGCACCCAGGGACACTGCAGGACCGCTCGACCACCTGACCCCGACTATGGCACATGCTGAGTGGGCCTGTAGGCAAGCCGTCACCGCCTGATTCCGAGGCTTTGCCTCCTCCCGGCCTCGTTCTGAGATTGCGCCCCCCTTTTCCTCCCCCATCTCTGGTTAATTCAAGCTTCGCGCGGCCCGCTTAGCTTCGACAGGAAGAGGTGCGCTCTCGACCCGCGAATCAAAACTGTAGGCAAGCCGCGATGACGCTAAACTCTGCTTGGCTCCCATGGGGGCCGTCGGCGCACAGCGCGCGCGCCAGCGAGTAGAAACTCTCGAACAGGAGCGCCGGCTTGCGCGGCATGCCCGCCCGGTGGGCCGCCTGCGCTCAGGATCAGCAGCCATCGAATCAGGAAGTCGAATCGAATCGGAATGTGCGTCGGACAGGGCTGTACCGGTTCGGAGTCGGAATCACATCGAATCGAGTGCGCCAAGGATGCGCAACAGAGCCATGCAAGCTTCGGGCCGCATCGGGTCGAAAGAATATCGGAATCGCATCAGATCGAGAGGGCCACAATTCATGTCGAACCAGATCGATTGGCCGAAATGGGCCGTGCCTGCGCTTGCGCCTGCTGCGGAGGTCCGGCGGCGTGCTGCAGCAGCTCGAACGTCATCGCCACAACCTCGGCTTTTCCATTGCGATCAACATGACGCCCACATCCCAGAACCCCTCGCGTCGTGAAAAGATCGCGACGGAAGAAGGTTTTTTGTTGTTTTCGGCCTCCATGAGGACCCTCTCCAGGTCCCAGGACCGTCAGTTTGACGGCAATTCTTAGGCTGCTCGAGGTTGTCAGCCTCGGGACGCTTTCTGGCAGCTGCGCCTCGCCGACAGCGTTCGAGGGGTGCCCAGATCGTCCCAAACAGCTGCCGGAGACCAGATTTATGAAGAGATGTCCAGCGATGTGTTGTTAAACTGGTATGTTTTTTCAGCCTCAGAACGCGGGGGCCGTTGCGGGCCCCGGGGCCATCCCAAACGAATCGAAGACGAAAACCTGCCCCCAGGAAGGCGGTGGTCGGTACCTCTGGGGCCACGGATTGAAGAAGCAGATTGGCAGATGTCAGAGTGGTTCCAAAGCCAACAAACTTCGCACGAGGCGCGAGGCGCGGATTTCTGTGCGGCCGGCGCGAGGCCCCCTCCCAGACATCCTGCGGTCTAATGTGTTCTACTTATGCGTACTCCAAATCTCATAATAGTGGGGGGGGGTCAAACAAGTGTTTGACGGCCGGTCTGGGACCACCCCCCAAGACAGGCAACAAAAGGTCCAAAATCGAGACCCCCCCACAAATGTGTTTGACGAAGCCCGTGAGACCCCCCCCAGAAGCAGACCCCCCCCGTTGTTATGAGATCCGGAGTAGACCCCTGGATGTGTGGACCACGTCTCTGCAGGGCCCGCCTCTCATCTGGAACATGTTCGACGGGCCTGGGGCCGGTGAAGGCCACCGGAGGCCGAGAACATAACAAAAAACACCGCTCGATGTTTCTGAGCCGCGGAGCTCTGGGCTCGGAAAAGGGTAGCCTCTTCAATCCAAGCGCACGGGGGCGAAACAGACGTGTTAGCACCGGGTCCCGTTTGATTATCAAAGAAAAATGGGAGGCCAAATCTGGCCTGCCTGCGTAACGAGGGCTGTCGGGGTTGCCGGGTTGAGCAGGCATGAAAGACTCTGGAGAAGGCGTGTTGGGTGGCCGTTTTGGGTGCAAGGTCGTGTTGGGCATGCCGAAGCGAAGTTAAAGTGGTGGTGCGATAGAAATAATCAAAGGGAACCCCATGCTAGCTGAAAACTTCAGGATCTCTTCGGCACGGCCTTCACACTGGAGACCCCGAACATGGACATGAGGAGGGCCCAATTGTCCAAGTCCATATCCGGCGTGACCCTCCGAAGGGTTGCCCGTGATCATGGCGTCCAAAACCTGCCCCTGATCGGTCGCGATGGGTCCCGTGACTGGCCCCGCCCCCCCCCCTTCCCTCCGCCCCCCCTCTGGTCAGTCACGTCACGACTCGCGATTGTTAAGCATTCCCTGACGGCGCCGGCGCAAGTCGTGGCGTGACCGACTCCGTCCATCCCCCCTCTACCCCACGTTTCCTGCCATCCCCAGCAAGTGTTTTTCCTATAGGGTGCGGCACGATCAGCCATACGCCGCTCTGGCAAAACTCCTCCGCATGTTTTCTACGGATGGCATGTGCAGGCTGCATTTCGGCTTGGCTTTCGATATCACCTGCGCCAGTTCCTCCTTTTCCTATCGCGTGTCCCACTCATCATCCCCACCATTCACTTCCCAGCGTGCCCAATCCAGATTCGGGGCACACGATACCCAGAATACCAAATCTGGCCCCCATTCATCAACCGAACGACGACGCTTAGGGGGCGTTCTAGGGAGTTTCTTTTGCCGTCTTGGGAGCCACGAAGACTACTCAGGCGAGTAGGCCTACTACAAAACGTTCGTGGCGTGACAAACCTGGCGTTTCTGACGCCGCGCGAAACGAACCGTTCAACCTGGAACGATCGGCTGTTTTCCGATTGCCACATCGTTCCATTGGCCGAATATGACCCAGTGGCGGCGCCCCCAGGCGAAAACCGTTTTCTCGCGAAACGCGGCGGCGGTGCGCGCCGTCTTCGGCACCAACGCCCAGGCCCCTGTGGCCCAGACCGTCTCACACTCGTAGACGAGGCGGGCGGGCGCTCGAGGCGGGTGGGCCTGCCATCGGCCCCTGGCTGACCCGGGCCGCCTGGCACTCCACGGCGAAGACGAGGTGCCGCGGGCGGCCGTTGGAGCCCCGCGCGCGCACCTCGCCGCGTCGCGTCGTCGACGAGCCGCGGGGCCCCAGGGCCTACTGACTCCGGCGGCGGCGGCGTCGGGCCCCGGGGCGCCGGGCGGCGTCTGCGGCGGCAACCCCCGGCGCGGGCCCGGACGCGCTCAAAGACGAGCGCGTCGATCGCGATCCGGAGAACCAGGCAAACCCCCCCCACCCCCTCCGATCGCGAGGCGGAAGCATCGCAGGGCAATTGGGGCAACGGACCATTCGACCCAAGCGCACCCCCCGAAAGCGAGATTGCAGGCCTGGCGAAGGGAGCCCCGAAGAGTCATGCCGTCGGGTTGGCGGAAGCAGCGGCGCGCCCCTGCAGGCGGGCCCGCAGCGAAGCGGGCCCCCGTGCAGGCGGCGGGGCCGCGGCTCCCCAGGCGGGCGGCCACCAGGCGGCGGATGCGGGCCCAACGGGCGCGGGTGCGAGAGCGGAGGGAGCTGGAATGCCAAGGTAAAGCATGTATATATACACATATATATGTATGTATGTATGTATGTATGTATGTATGTATGCATGCATGCATGCATGCATGTTTGCATGTATGTATATATATATATATATATATATATATAATATATATATATTATATATATATATATATATATATATGTGGGTGTGTGTGCACACACATAGAAAGAGGGCGAATGCGGGATGTACACAAATAGTGGGCTATGGACAGGATCGGCGCCTGCCGTGCCATCTCCTGGCAATAGCATCCCGCTTGTATCCTCGCCGCCCCCGTGGCGGAGGCCTTGGGTGCCGCGCTCGCGCAGGAGGCGGCAATTTCCAGCGCTATGTTCCACATCGATCGCGGCGTTGGCCCTGCGATGCAAACCGTGGAAAGCTACCTGACAACGACCCATAAGCTGCCCTACGCTCGCCCCGCAGGCTACCCGAGAGCTGCCCGAAAACGACCCGAAACTGCAACTTGGCAGGGCGGGGTGGCGGCCGTCACATAGCTGCCATTAGCTACCCGACAAGACACCTGCAATCTCATAGAACGCCAAACGAAATTTACGCAACAAACTGTTCGAATCGGTTCCATCGGTTACGGACCATGGCCGTTCACAAAGCTATCCGATAATCCACCCGCAATGCAGTCGAACGCGCCGCGAGAATTATACATTTACCCGTAACAACACCATTGCCGTGGGGTATCGGAACCGCCACCGAACTCCCCGCAAGCTGCCCGGAAGCGAACTGACGGCTGCCCGAAAGCTGCCCGCTAGAAGCCAAGCTCAGCCCGACTTTCCACGCGGTCGTTGTTGCGGCCCCCGTCCGTGGCGATTTGGGCGCAAGCGCACATGCCTCGCAAGAGCAAGCGACATGGCGACGCGTCGCCCCGCTCGTCTTCGGAACCGAAGCCCTAGGAGGGGCGCGCAGGGGAGTCGGCGCGTGGACCCCCTGTCGGCGCACGCTCGGTCGACGCGCCCGTCGCCATTTTTCCCCGCGCCTCCTGCGCCCTCCTTGCCAAGCCTACCGGCGAGAGAAAATCGCAGCAACGCAATTCGAAGGGAAGCCCCTTCCCTTTGATCCTTCCCCCGTCAAAGGGGGGGGGCCCGGGGGAATCCTGGGGGGGGCCCAGGGGGGGGCGGGGGGCCAGATGCGCATCCGCCCCCAGGGGTCCCGGAGCCCTAAAAAACGCCAACACGCGCCAATAGGACCCCGAGCGGGCACAAGAAGCGGACCACGAATCGACGCTTCGAGCTTCCCGCCCCAAGAAGCCCCCGGAAGGCCCCAGGAGCCCCTCATGCCCCGACCACCTCGAGTGCAACTTTCTCAACACGCTCGCTGACGCATTAAAAAAGATCATACAATTCAGAAAAATCAACGCACTCCCCGAAAATAGTGCACGATAGCAACGAACAAGCACAAACAACACATGGCGACGCAGTGCGCCACGCGGGCGAAAAATGTTTCGGCCCCGGAAACCAGGGGCGCCCAAGGCCCGCAGATTCTCGGGGGGGGGGAACGCGACAAGGCGACGACGAGGTACTTTTTCCGCCGTTCAAGCAAGCGTCTGTTATTTCTGCACAAGTACGCGGCGCGACGACGCGCCCGCGCGCGTCGACCAAATGTTTTCGACGGAGAGACGTGGAGAGAGTCGGGGCCGAGAGATCGATGGGGCCACGGCCCGCGCACATTTTCACACGCGCCCCGACTGCATCGCAGGGCAGCGCGCGCGCGCTCGGTGTTGCTCCAGACTTGGTCTGGAACAGCAGGGGGAGGCGGAGGGGGGTGAAGACCCCCGCGCCCAGACCCCCTCGAGAAATGGAAAAAACATGACGGGCGTTTTTTTTCTGAACTTTCGGCCTCCAAGGGCCCTTCACCTGGCCTCGGGGGCGCAAACAAAAACGACTCGGGATGCACAGCCGGTCCTGAGGAATTGTCGGGACCTCCGGAGGTCGACGCAATGGAGAAAAAATTGCGTCGGG